TCACACCAGAGAAACTATTTGGTATTTACACATGTGTGTCCTATTTATTTCACTTAAGAGTACTGCCTCAATGTGCATCCACTTAGCTATAAATGTCTCTTAATTTCTCATTTTTATGAGCCTGGACATTCTTAATCAGAATGGGGAAAAGGAGTAAGACTTCAGGCAGGAAGCCAAGCACACATAGAATAATCCCTCGCTATCTGCTTAGGGGACTGGTTCCAGGACCTCCAAAGATATCAAACTCCAAAGATGTGCAAGTCCCTTAAATAAAATTTGCATATTAACCTATGAACATTCTCCTGTATCCTTTAAGTCATCTTCAGACTACTTCAATGCTAAATCCAATGAAAATGTTACTTAAATAGTTGTTAGACTGCATTATATGGGAAACCATGGCAAGAAAAGTCTACATGTTCAGCAGATCCCATTTTTCCCCAAACATTCCTGACCCTCAATTGGGTGAATCCATGCATATCATATGGAGGGGCAATTTCACGGTTTAGTGAGAGTCATAAGAGTCTGATGGTGGCACTTTCCACTAGTCCAGCAGTTTTGCATCCATAAAGCATGTTCTCACACCTGTGAATGTGGATGAGGGAATCGTTTTTTACAAAGTTAATTCTCCAGGAAAAGTCTGCAGAAATTCAAGTGTTTCTTGGAGACAGCAAAGTACTTTATAATTCTTTTCATCTACAAAATTTGAAAAAGGTATGCCTTAAAAATAGATTCCATGCTGTTTTCTCAAAACTAAATATAAATCTCAAAAATAAGGATGTGTAAAAGGCAACTGAGTAGAAATGTAAGTTTTAGTTCTAAGTTCAACTGCTATGTTTCTAATCTTTAACACTTTAACTTCATTGATACATTAATATGAAATACAGAGCCAGGCATTTAGCTCAATGGTTCTGCTGCTTGCCTTGCAAGTGCAAGGTCCTCAATTCAATCCCCAGTACCAAAACAATAATAAATAAATAAATAAATAAATAGAAACCTGTGTCAAATATGAAATACAGCTTAAGGAAAAGAAGTAATTCACAGTTCCCTAGAAGTGGAATAAACTGACTGAAATAAAGAGTTTGTGTTTATTTATAAACCTAAATGAGGGCTAGGGTCCGGAGCTCAGTGGTAGAACATTTCCTTTCATGCATACATCTCTGAGTTTGATTCTCAGCACTGCAAAAAGCAAAACAAAACAAACGCAAAAAGTGTGACCTCCAGAAAGAGATGAGTGGGCCCTGGGCACACATACCTGTGAGTACTTCAGGACCTCCACACCAGCGTTCTCCAGCTCTTCAGTGCAATTGGAACTGATTAGTGAATCAAAATTTCTAAGTACCTGTGTACAAATGGAGGCCACAGAGAGTGGGCAGTAGAAAAGAAAGAACACTTGATTAAATGCACTCTACAAACTCAGGAGGGAAATGTCAATACTATATTACCCTTTCTTTTATTTCCTCCCTCATTCATAGGTATAGTGAGAACAGTTTTAATAAATCCTCTATTATCCTACATCAGCACCAAGGTCTCTATAGCAATTACTTTTATCAATTGCTGTTTCAGAGGCCAAATGAAATGGACAGTCAACTTTCAGGCATCTATCATTTTCATCTTCCTCTCTTCCAAGCTTGCTCCTCTTTTATAAAGTCTAAGGAACAGAAATTTTCTTCCCCCTTTTAATGTCTGAGGGCCAGCCTTCCCTCTGATATGACTTAAGGGAAGGTCCTGTAGCAAAATTCTTCATTCAGCTAGAAATCACACCTTGACCTTGGAGATGTCCTATGATAAAGCACATGTGACATGTTGCAGTAGGAGGTCAGGAATCACTCACAGTAGCTTTAGATGGAGTTATGCCAGGATGGGGCAGAGGGAGAATTAGCCTGGGCCTTAGGGATGGGAGAGGGCAGGAAGCCAAGTAATGTGGCTCTCTGCAAATGCGGGAAATCAGCCACTGTACTGATAAGACTGCAGCACTTCACTACTTTAGTTAGTAAATCAGGCTGGCTATCTTTCTATCTTTCCTCTTCCTTTCAATCTGCTGGATATATTTCAGTAATACAAAAGTATGTTCATGAAAAATATTATTCAAGGCATAAATCTCTTTAGGGCTAGTTCTATGACATGCTTAAAGCCTAAGAGAAAGTTTTGGGAGTACACACTGACTAGCATTGTGAGTATCCCTCAAGTCCCTCCATTTGTTCAAAGTAAGAATTAGAATCAGCCAGGTGCAGTGGCAGGTCCCTGTAATTCCAGCTACTTGGAAAACTAAGGGAGGAGGAGTATAAGGTGGAGTCCAGCCTGGGCATCTTCATGAGATCCTGTCTCAAAAAATAAAATTTTAAAAGGGCTGGGAGCATAGCTGAGTTGTAGAGTATTTGCCTAGATGTACCATGCCCTTAGTTCAATTCCTAATATCACAAAAACAAACAAAATTAGAATAATGGCATTTGAGCGATCAGGAGTCTGATAAATCCTGTCCCTGAAGAACTAGGCCCCAAAGGCTTAAGTGACTTAAGGCACGTGTTTGTTAGGGACAGTCAATGGCGAAAGCAGGTCCCTAGGCCAACACTTTTGTTACTGCCCCACACCTGCTCTATCAAAGTTCTAACACTGTGTCATCATAATAGCAGTACTCAATAGCCACTAACCAACCACAGACAGAAAGCAACACTTGACCAAGTGATGACAAAGATGCAGGTCAAATCTAAGCAGAAACAGCACAAATCTGGCTGGGGCTTTCTCAAACCTCGGTTGACTCCCAGTTTTGCTACTTACTAATCAGAGCCACAAAACCTCTCCTGTCCTTTGTTTCTTCATCTTTAAAATGAAATTCAAGTGGATGATCTACAAGGTTCCCTTTCATACAAAGAAGTTAGTGAGTTGTTTAGACTGAGTGCTAACAATCCAACACTACCTTTCATGTGAAATTCACTTCCAGAATTAAAAAATTAACGATAGGGTATTATAGTTAACTAACATTTATACTGACATCTGCATATCCCCTTATTAGGATATCTGGTAACTCATTTCATAATGAAAATATCAGCCAAAAAAAGAGAGAAGAAAATAGCAGCCAGTTGATCAACTCAGAATTTCCATCAACTAGCAGATGAGAAGGAGGTAAGGTCTAATTCAAACAGGTTACATGCAGCCGCTGTGGCACAGACTAACGGACATAACTGCCATGTGCTTTGTGCTCTAGTATTTAATGGTGACATAAGAAAAAAATTCGTCCTCTTCAAAACCATAACCAAAACCACCGAGGAGGAGGACAGAACCTACCTTATCATGCCGTATCATTAGCACTGTCTTAGAGCCCAGGGCAGAGAAGATCCCAGCTATCTCCACAGCAATGTAACCTGCCCCCACGATGACGCTACGCCTAAATGAAAGCAGGGGTTAACATTTTAAAATTAACTTACTTGGGAATAATTTTAGACTTGCAAACACGTTGCAAAGAGAGTATGACATTTCCCTCATACCCTCTGCTCAGTTATCCCTAACGTTAACATTTTATATAATGGTGGTACATTTGTCAAAACTAGAGGCTCACTGGCACATTACTATTGACTAAATCCTAGATTTCAGATTTTATCATTTTTTCCATTAATCTTTTTACTGTTCTAGGTGCCACATTACACATTTTAGCAGAAAACATTCATTTGTAGAAGCGAACTGTATTTTACTTGTTTTAAAAGATCTTTGCCCTCTTTCTTCCTTAATTCCTTCCTTCCTTCCTTCTTGAGACAGGATCTTGCTATGTAGCTAGGCCGACTGGCCTTGAGCTCCAGATGATTCTCCTGCATCAGCCTCCTGAGTGCTGGGATTACAGGTGTGAACCACCACACACACCCCCACCCCCGCCCTTCTTTTATGAGAACACAAAAACCTTTGAAACTAGAGAGGACTCCTTACATAATGATCCTCAGCTAAAACTAACATCAGGGCCAGGATTCTTAGCATCACTATTCTCCTGTGCAACATATTTCTCCTTGATCCTTATTCAGTTCTATTCATCCTTGCACACAACCAAATCACACTTCCAGAATACATTTTGGTTTAAGAGAGTCTCAAGCCTTAGTGAAATGCTTAGATGAAGGCCTATGACTCAGTGGAGAAGTAGCTGTGAGCCTGGACTGGGGCAGTATTTGCTGCCATGTTGCAGCCTGGAGAAGAGGGGTCCTGCAGGGGGCAGTGTTACCCTGCATGTGGCTGTGTCCTCTAAAGCTTCAGTGCATGCTCTCCCACTATTCCAGGGCATGGGCAATCAGTGTTCAGGGGAGCTGGGCATTATGGTACATGCCTCTAATTCCACACTCTTGGGGGATGAAGCAGGAGGATCACATGGTTAAGCCCAGCCAGGGCAACTGAGTCACCTGGCAAGACCATACCCTACCTCAAAATAAAAAATACAAAGGGCTACAGATCAGTGCCAAGGCCTTGGGTTCAATCCCTAGCAGTGGAGCAGGGTGGGAAGCTCAGAAAAATGAAGAAACCTTCTTCCAATACCTTCCCCAGGCAAAGTACCCGCGTCCTAAATCCAGCCTTCAGGGGGCTTATGGTCTGGATTAGAGTGCAGCAAAAAGCTAAATGGCTACAAGTTATAAACTGACTCTCTTATCCTACAATCTAGAGTATAAAAAATTTCTACACAGTTCAAAACCTATAAACCAGCTCTTCTTCCAATTCTACTGCCCTCTTTCCTATGTATGACACACTAACCCTTTCCCTTTCTGTAGGTCTTCCCACTTGCCTGTCTCCTTTTTTCTCACCACCTTCTTTCCTCCCAAGACACATATTAGTTAAGTCCACTAAGCACTGCATTCAACAAGGCAGGTAGCAGTTCCTGCCCAAGGAACTTGCAGAGTGGAGAGCTCAGAAAATGCTGATAACTCCTGAAATAGGAGAAGCTCTTACAGGCTGGACAGAGCAGTCCAAGCAGACGGGACACATAGGAAACAAGCAGGAAACACAGATTCTTCAGAGCACTGCAAAGAGCTCATGCTCTTCCTTGGCTGCCAGTGGCACCCTTGTCCCACTTGTCACTGATGGATCCCCTGGCGATGATCTTTCATGCGGCCAAATCACCAAACTGATTGGCAAAAGCCGCTGAAGGCCAGAAGACTGAGCAATACTAACTCCGGAGAGAAGGTAACTTCAGTTGAGGGTGGGCTCAGGTCTGCAGGGTCCCTGGTCCTGTCTATCTCTTACCCTGAATGGAGAAGGATCCCTCCAACCCCAAACGCCTGCAATGTGCAGCACCTTTCCATCAAAGAAATGATCTTCCTCAGTAATCTTTTTCCTCTAGGAATCTAAATCCATACAAGAAAGTTACTACGGTTACTCAGATGCAAATAAAGAATAATGTCAGCCAGGCATGGTGGCATACACCTGTAGTCCCAGCTATTTGGGAGGCTGAGACAGAAGAGTCACTTGATCCCAGGAGCTTGAGATCAGCCTGGGCAACTGTTTTGGCTTGTGTCTAGATGTCCCCCTCAAAGCGCCATGCGCTCATAAGTGGGGCTTTTCAGAGGTGGCTGGATCTAGGGTGTGTGATGCTGGGATTAAGGATGTGATGCTAAACTTAAGGTTGCCCTAACCTGGGTGTGAGTGCTACCCTCCATAAGGGCAGGTAGCCTGGATAGAATATAAGGAACAGAAAGGGAGCAGCTGCTGTGGCTTGCTGCTTGCTACTTCCCTGGTGTCTGCCCTCTGCCTGCCCTGTTTTGCTATGGACTGTTTCTCCTCTGCGATGCCCCTCTGCCATGCTGCCCTACTTTGGAGCCAGCTGGGTATGGACTGAAATCTCTACAAACCGTAAGCCAAAATAAACCTTCTTTAACTTTGGGTGTTGGGTATTTTGTCTCAGCATTAAGAAAAGTAACAAAGAGAGCAACATAGTGAGAGCCCATTTCAACAACTGAAAAGAAAAACATCAGAAAATGTTTCTGTGAGAGGAACAGAGCCTTCATTATGGACAGCCCTCTACATTAGCTGCTTAGAAAAATCCAGAATCAGTTAGTTTAGACATGTTATTATTAGATGCCATATTAGCTAAAGAAAGATGAGTTTACTATTGAATTTTCAACATTACCCCGATTTGATTTGAGTTCTAAACTTTTTGCAACAGGCTCTTTCTGCAAAAGCCTGAAAGGTTTGAGGGATCTACTGACGAGAACTAATGGATGAGATAGCCCAGGTCAGAGAAAAAGAGGTAAGAGAACTAAATTCAGGAAATGCCTATAAATGGCTGGCAGGGGGAGGAAGAAGAAATGTTCCCAGAAGACACTGGGGAAGAATGAACTGCCGAAGATGTGTCCACTCACCTGGGCAATTCTTCGAGCTGAAAAAACCCATCACTGGTTATGCCTAGGCGTGCACCTATGTAGGAAAATACAGACTTGACCACACAAGATCTTGCTTTCTCTTGTAAAACAAGTACAACATTTTATGAAAGAACCAAACACTTTCCATCAGCATACTTTGTTTTGACAAGTTTTGATAAACCCTCCACTTGGGAAGCTGCTGACCAAGTCTTCTCTTATTCAACATTTTTTTTCTTTTTTTGGAGACAGGGTCTCACTAAGTTGCCCAGGCTGGCCTCAAAGTTGTGATCCTCCTGCCCTAGCCTCCTAAATAGCTTGGATTACAGGCATGTGGCACCACACCTGGCTTGAGTCAACATTTTTATTTTCTCTCTAGAAACAGCATCAGTGATGACTACATAACTTCCAAATTTCTCTAAAGAACCACAATCTTTTCAGCTCCCATGAACAGACTGTATTTCTGACATCATGTCAGATTCCCATGAACTGTTTTGTATTTCTAACTTTCCTGCTACATAATTCCAGCTAGCTTCAAACTCAGGGCTGAGTATCCTTTATCAGAAATGCTTGGATGGCCAGAGATTTAGCTTAGTGGTGCCACCACTTGCCTTGCAAGTGCAAGGTTCCAAGTTCAATCCCTGGTACCAAAAAAAAAAAAAAAAGAAGACAGAAAAGAAAAGAAATGCTTGGGATCAGAATCATTTCAAATTTCAGACTTTAGGATATTTGCATTTACATAATCAGATGTCTTAGAGGTGAAGCCCAAGTCCAAAGATGAAATTCTTTTATGTTTTACACACACCTTACACAGCGTGAAGGCAATTATTCAAAATTTTAAAATAATTTTGTACATGAACAAAGTTTCATTGTATGGGATTTTCCACTTGTAGCACCATATTGGCCTTCAACATGATTTTAGAGCATTTCACATTTTGTATTTTTTGATTAGGGGTGCATCACCATCAAGCTTACCATTCTAGAGAAAGGAACCACCTTCCTCCAGTGAACCAAAGCCATGCATACAAGAGAGGTGCTCTACCTCAGAGCTACATCCCCAGCCCAAAATACCGCATTTTACCAGATCTAAGCACCATGATTACAAGACCTATCCCTATTTTTGGAGGTGAGGAATATTTTTTTTTATTAAATTCTTTTATTGGTACATGGTAGGTATACAACACAACTAGATTATCATTGGGAATTGTACCTTTACATAATGCATCTTGGTTCTTACTTTTTCCTCATTCCTAGCCCGCCCTTCCCTATTTACAAA